CCACACAGACTGCAGGGTGAGCGCCCCCTGCTGGTTCCATTAACACCTCTTCCAGCAGCAAGTTGCAGGTTGATATGGCTGCTGAATAAAAGCAAAAAGACCAGGAACACCATTGCTTTCCCAATAACGGCCTTCAGGAGGGGCAATGTTCTCCACTTCCTGACATACCTGTCTGAAACCAGGGTCCGGGCACTGCCCCAGGCTGTGGGGGCAGGCCAGACTTCAGTGACGACAGAGGAGGGAAGGCAGGTGATGAGGAAGCAGCGCCTCGATGGTCACAGCGCTGACGAAGGCAGAGAGGTAGGCCTTAACAGCAGACACGTGCATACAGCAGCTCGTTCTGTGAGTGGCAGACTCGGGCAGGCCCGAGGAGCCCGTGAGCTGCAGGAGACATCGGTGGTTCCGGGGCCGAGCAGCTGTCACACACAGCCGGCTGGTGGGGAGACGCACAGTAGGAACAACAGTCGAACTCCCAGGGCAGAGCAGCAGGAGCCAATCTAGGAGCTTCTGCCATGCACGGCAGTCCCTGGGGACGCAGACTCCCCTCTGCCTTTATTTGCGTCCCTTCTCATAAGTAGGCAGGTGGAGGTACAGGAAAATGAGACTCCAAAGAAATCCAAAGGCTTGTGTCTGTTCCTCTGTTTTAATGAGAAGCCATCTCTCAGGATCTGAAGCAGCCACACCTCCTGCAGGGCAAGCACGCAGCGGAGCAGGGGAGGCCACTGTTCCAGCGAACTGCAGAATGTTTTTTTTTCTTGCTTGTTATTGTCCGTTTCCTTTTTTTCCTTTCTTTCCTCCGTGTCCTTGAGTTCCCTGTCTGATTCAGGGGCGCGATGGCAGGCATGATCACAGAGCTGGCGTGCAGAACCGCCAGCAGATCAGGGCCCGCCTCCTGTCGCTTTGTTCCTGTTTTAATTAGAGGAGCCGGGCTTTGCTTTCAAGGCTGTCCAGAACAATTGCCGGGCTCGCTTTGCTCTGTCGGCTCGCTGTGGACAGTTTGCCACTAGAGATCCACAAGAAGCTGCCATGACACCTCCCAGCATGCACAGCAACAGAGCACACTACACCCATTTGTAAAAGACAATCGAATTAGTCACAAACGATGCTTGTTTATTATTATGGCTAATTATACAGCAGGTGCCTTTATCTTCATCCTGGACTACAATAATCAGAATTTGTACAGTGAGGTTCAACATTACCTGTTGAAATAATAAGTGCAGTGCAAGACAAGATTAGTAGACCAGTGTTATTGATAGGTGACCCCTCAATCAAGAATGATTCTTGCTTTGTGCATGACTACACCACCTAGCTAGGACCCTCCTTTCCTCGCTACAGGTTCTGCTCATCTCCCATAATCACACCAGGCAACAGA